CTCAATATCTATTTTGCAAGTCACAAGTCTTTCGCCTCAAACTGTTCGATAACTATTGATTGAGCTTATTGATCTCTTTTAGATCCCGCAATAAGTATATTATCAACATACAAAAGTAAAATAAGATAATAGTCATCAAACCTCTTGATATAACAATAGTGATTCATCTCACATCTTTCAAAACCATTATCATACATGAACCCATCAAACTACTTATACCATTATCTAAAAGCTTATTTTAAATCATACAAACTTTTTTGTAACTTGCACATACCTTTTTCCTTCTTTAGAACTTCAAAGCCTTCTAGTTGTACCATATAAATGTCTTCCTCAAGTTCACCGTATCGAAAAGTAGTTTTAACATCTAACTATATTGGATATAAATTTTCTACAAGTAATAATACTTAGTATTAGTGTAATAGTAGTCATCTTGACTACGGGATAGAAAATCTTGATGTATTCAATTCCTTTTTTCTATTAAAAACCCTTTACAACTGTCTTATCTTGTATCTTTTACTACCATCATGCTCTTCTTTGACTATGTACAACCACTTGTTACGTATAGCCTTTTTTCTTTTTCGTAATATAATTAAAGTCTATGTCTAATTCTTCTAAAGAGACCTCATCCTTCTTTCATGGCTAACTCTCACTTGATAGAATCTTTCACATGCATTACTTCATTGAATAATTTTGGTTCTTTAACATTAATGAGAAGCAAATAATTCAAAAAAAATGAATACCTTTAAGTGGATTTAGACACTCTATCATATCTCCTTAGCCGAGGAGTAGGAATTATTGATTCTAGTTTAGCTTTAGCTTCTCTATCTCTAATCATTTGAATTCTGAATCCTAAATGCAAATTCCTCTAAAATCTCTTTCAAATTAGCTTTCTCACTTGTTTTTTACTATTTCCTACACTCGTTAAACTCTATCCCAATTTTTTCCTTATACAATATACTTTTATTAAATATGACATCCTTATGCCTTGTGATCTTTCTATTCTGATCATTTTAAAATCAATAACCAAAATCATCAAAACCATAACTAATGAAATAACATTTTCTAAGCTTAGGATTAAATTTATCTCTATTATTATATCCTATATATACATATAAAACACAACCAAAGGTTCTTAAGTGTGAGAAATTTACCTCCTTTCCTAACCATACTTCCTCAAATAATTTAAAACTCAATGGAACTCGAAGGCCCTCTATTTATGAGGTAAGTTATTGTATTCACTACATCAACCTAAAATGCTTTGGGAAAAGCAGAGTGTAATCTCATACTTCTTGCTCACTCATTCAAAGTTAAATTTATCCTTTCAACAACACCATTTTGCTCTTGTGTCATAGAAACTATCTTGATCATTCTAATCCCATTGTTCGAATAATAATCTTTAAATTTTATGCTAACTTGCTCTCCTTTATTATCCGACTTCAAAGCTTTGATCTTCGGACTATCTAGTTTTCAACTTCTGTTTTCCACCTTTTGAATACAACAAATGCATAAGATTTATTTTTCAAAAAATAAACTTATACCTTTCTAGTAGAGTCATAAATGAAAGTGACATAATAGCATGAGCCTCTAAGATAAGTTACGAGGGCTGGTCCCCATACTTTTGTATGTATCAATTTTAGCTTATTTTCCTTTAAGGATCTATCAAACTTTAGGAAATAGACTCTTTTCTACTTTCCATAGATACATACCTCACATAATCCAACATCAACAAGTTTTAATTTCGGTAATTTTCTTGTTGATACTAACTCGCTTCAAACCCTTTTCACTTATGTCCCTAAGCCTTCGGTGCCATCATATCGAATCACCATCACCATTAAAATTAATCACTCGCTGTTGTATCTCTTGTTAGAGCAATCGTATACAAAATCTTAATCTTACTCGTCACATGCTAATAACCATATTCCCTTTCGTTATCATCAATGATCTACTTTCAAATACTATTGTATAACCAACATCATTGAGTTTACTCACAAAAATCATATTCTTTCTAAGACCTAAAATACATCTAATATTTTTTAATTTTCATTATAATCCATTAATAGTTCCGATCATCGGCCTTATATTTCCCCATAATGTCTAAAGGTTCATCATCCGCAAGATAAACATTTTAAAAATTTCTTGCAACATATTTTTATAGAAAATCTTTACTTGGAATAGAATGAAACGATGCACTTAAGTCTAGAATACAAAACTCAATAAGACTCGTCCACATTGTAAATTAATACATCTATAATTTCATCGGTTGTTGTAGATACGGAGTCATAATCTTGATTTTTTTTTCTTGAGAGCCTTACACTCGATTTTTAAAGTGCCCTTTCTTGTCATAATTCTAGCAAATGATCTCTTTGTGATTCTTGAATTTTCCTCTCGCCACTTGATTTTGACTTGTCATGACCATGATTCTAACCTCACCGATAGTCCCTTCCTCTACTATTAGTACTCGAAGCAGAACCCAAAGGTTCCTCCGACTTGCTCCCGTAAGGATCTTCACCGACCATTAAATCTTGAACATTATCCAATTTTAGTTTCTCATTTCTTGATGAACTATTTATTACCGTTATCGTTGCGGATCAACTCTCGGGTAGAGAAAATGACAAAATCGGTGCCTTAACTTTATCATTAAACACAATATTTATCAACTCTATTTATGTAATTAATATATTAAATTTATTAATATAATTGGTTATAGATGCATTTTCTTCCATCTTTAGATTAAACAATCAACGTATCAAAAATACCTTATTTAAGACAGATAGCTTCTCATGTATATGGCCTTTTTTTTTTCACGATGTTAAAGCAATGTTTTGCATCAACGTCAACCGAATAAGCACCTAAAGCCCGGTGATCTAATAAAACCTAATCAACATCTTTCATCCCCTCTAAATTTTTTCTAATAGGGGTTCATGTAGCTTCTTCTAATATAGATAGTCTTCAATCCGTATTTTCCAAAATCTAAAATCTTTATTATCAAACTTGTCAATCCTCGCTTTTCCTTTTTTTCCATCGTTAACATAGGGCTCGATACTAGTTGTTAAGAAATGAATCAAATAAAAGAATAAAGTAAAAAGATAAGAACAATCACACAATATAAAGATTTTATGTGGTTCAATAAGGTCGCCTTCTCATGATCGCATTAGGAGTTTTTATTCGGCTTTGACAAGTGATGACTCTAAATTCTAGTGATGTTATCTCTATTTATAGTGTGAATGGCTAAGGTTGTAAGAGAAAATGCCTAATGGGACTATACATTTGGCTCAATATTCTATAGACCTTTTGAGGGCTCCACCTTTGAGCCTCTATAGGGACGCTACCTCTTTGACTCCCACTCACTCACCGACTAACGAGATCTTCGTGTTGGATCCGTATAGCACCTTATACTAGTGGCCTTAATCTATATCATTTTTCATAACTTAACATATACTTGGTCTAGATGAGGTGCAATTAATCGATGGTAAATGCATTCTTATTACTCATGTTAGTTTTTTCCCTTTTCAAATTCATAATCATACCTTTAATCTTAATAATATTTTACATATTCCTATAAGTAGTCATAATATTTTATTTTTTAGTAGCTTTATCAAACATTATTCTTGCTCTATTGAATTCTTTTTTAATAAATATTTGGTAAAGTATTTGGCTTTATAGGACATTCCCCATGTTTGTTTGCTTGATAACGGGTTCTACACATTCTTCTTCGATAAAGACTTGGGCCATCATCCTCTAATTAAAGCTCATAGTACTTCTCTATCCACTTGGCATGCTCGTCTTGGACATATATCAATTAATACAGTTCATCAAGTCTTGAAACATTCTATAATAAATGTTTCTTCATCGATAGATTTTTCATCATATCATGCTTATAGTTTTACCAAAATTCATAAATTACAATTTCCTTAGTCTCATTATTTGGCTAAAAAACCATTAGAATTAGTTTGTTCTAATGTTTAGAGTCCATCTCCTATACGCTCTATTAATGGATATTCTAATTACGTGCTTTTTTACAACCACTTTAGCAAATATTGTTGATTATTTTTCCTTTATTATAAATCATAAATCCTTAACTCTTTCATTAAATGCAAGCATATGGTTGAATTTTTTTTTTTTTTGTCAAATTCATTGAACAATTTCAATCCGAATAAAGAGGTGAATATCGGATAATAATTAAATATTTGAATGAAAAGGGCATCTCTCGGAGAAGTGTCTATCTAAAAACACATAAGCAAAATGGTTGTGTCGAGCATAAATATCTATATATAATTGAAACCGGCCTAACTCTTATCAATTCGCCTCGGACCCCTCTCTTCTCGGACTTATGCTTTTCATGCAACTTTTTATACCATTAGCAAACTTCCCACACCCACTTACAAAATATTTCTTCTTATTTGGTTCTTTTTGGCACTCCTCCTCTATATAATGAACTAAAAATTTTTGGTTATGTATGTTATCCTTGGTTACTTTTATATGTTAGTTATAAACTTACACCTCTTTCTTCTACTTGTGTTTTTTAAGTTATAGTAAACTTTATAAATGATATATCTATTATTCTATTTCCATTAAAAAGTTCTTATCTCATGCTATGTCTTATTTGATGAATAAGTTATTCTTTTGCCTCATTAAGTCTAAGTTCATCTCGTGCAAGCATAATCTATCCGCAATTATCTCCATACCTATAACAATGCCACCCTCACTTTCATTTTATCAACCTATCTTTGTATCTCGTTATTTCAACAAATCCCTTACCCATAATCATTCCACAATAGCCCACATAAATTCACTCTAACCTATTAAACCAAGCCCCGGACTCCCAAACCTTATGTCCCACTTCCTCTCACACCAACGAACCAATTTATTCTAGCCTATTAAACCTAACTCCGATAACCTTATTCTAGCTCTTTAAGCCCAAGTTCGTAATTTCATCCTGGTCCATTAAACACATAACCATCACCTAACCCTTCTATATCTATTGTTGATCTTACTATCTATCAATTGCCACCATAGCCTCGCTCATCATCTTCTTCAATATCTCCTATCAATTCTAACCACACCATAAAAACTTTTAAATCTCTTAAATCAACTACTTCCCCGGATGTTAGGCTCCCAAATGCACTCTCCCACTCCAAAGCCATGGGATCTCTAAATGGTAGAAGTAGAATCCTTAGTCTAACAGCCATGACTTTACATCCTAGCCTACGCATAACGAGTTCCTAATTTCCAAAGATCATGACTGCATCTAATGCCTGCACCAATATAAAGTCATATCCACTACCAACTACAACTCCTTCACATACCATGGTTATTCATGCAAAATCAAGCTATTTAAAGCCTCATATCTTTTTTACAATGATTTCTCTAACTACTCCATCCTCTTACTCTTAGGCTAGGTCCAATCACTAACGGCGTGCAAAAATGGCCATTGAATTGCAATCCTCGCTTGCTAATGACATATGGAAGCTTACTCCTTATTAATTCACTTATAATGTCATTAGCAATAAATGGGTTTACAAAGTGAAGAGCAATTTAGATGGCACCCTTGATCACTACAAAGCATGGTTAACTACCAAAGGGGTTCGATCAACTTCCCGAAGTTGATTTTAATGACACTTATAATCTAGTTATAAAACCAGTTGTTATTCATCTAAATCTCTCTATAATTATATCTTTGAATTTGAGGGTTGAGTAGTTAGACATTTTGAATGTGTTTCTTTATGATCTACTAGAGGAAGTCATTCACATGTCTTAATTGTAAGGTTTTGTTAACCCTTAGTGACCAAGATATGCCTACAGAGTTAAAAAAGTCCCTCTATGGTTGAAAATAGATGCCTTGTCAATTGCTTAGGTGCCTTACGGAAAAATTGATATCTCTCAGCTTTCCAAGGTTCATAAATTGATTTCTCTCTTTTCTTTAAATTAAGAAAAAAAAATACATCATTTTCTATCTCATTTATGTTGATAATTTGATTATCACTAGTAGTAATGGTACCTTTGTATCTTCTCTTATCTTTGCCTAGTATTCTAGTTTTTCGATCAAACATCTTAGACACCTTAGTTACTTTTTAGGGATAGAAGCTAATTAGGGGGTGTATGGTATGTTTCTTCATCAATATAAATATGATAGTGAGCTTTTACAAAAGGCAAACATGTATCAAGCCAATGGCCTTAGCATGTCCACTTGTCCTAACTCTAAGTTACATACAAGTAGGCGATACTTGTCTTTTTAGATCTTTTTTTGTATCATAGTCTTGTGGGTGGCTTATAATACCTTTGTATCACTCATCTAGACATCACTTATTTTATCAATAAGGTAGTTCAGTATATACACTTGCTAATAAAAGAACATTGGACTACCTTAAAACGAATTCTTCGTTATCTTCAAGCCACGAGAGCTCATGGCTTACACATTTAACGATCCTCTAACTTCTCTATTAACACCTACATAGAATCTTATTGGGATGGTGATATTGATGATCATAAAAGCACGTTTGGCTATACAACTTATCTTGGTAAAAAATTGATTTCATGGCATTTTTACAAACAATGCAAGTATTGCTTGTTCATTCACCGATGCCGAATACCGTGCTTTGGCAAAGGCCTACTCGAGGTCAAATGGATTGAATCCTTACTCGTGGAGATTGGTATTCTTGCTAGCCAACCACCATAGATTTATTGTGATAATGTCTCGACCATTTACCTTGCTAACACCCCTATTTTCCATTTTTTATCTAAGCACTGGAAATTGATTTTCTTTTGGTAAGAGATAAAGTTCACAAATGTTTACTTCAAGTTTGTTACTTGCCTACCGGTGATCAAATTGCCGACATCCATACCAAACCGCTATGCAAAACACCATTTCGGACACTACGATACAAGTTGTGCTTTCTTTCGCATCCTACTCAACTTGTCGGAGGGTGATAGGGATAAAACTTTTATTCCCATTATTTCTCCAATACTTTAGCTAACAGTAGTTGCTTCTCTTGTACATGTCTTCTATTTATCTTCTTTAATTATCGTATTATATAAGGAATATCCTTGTAAAGTATTTCTATTAAGTGAGTTAATAAACCCTTTATAGTTATTGGGGCCTAAGACGACTTAAGACTATGGCTAGAGATTGGAATCAAATATAGAATTTCTAACACACACATGAGAGAGAGAGAGAGAGAGAGAGAGAGAGAGAGAGAGTTTTAACTATTCCATATATATAACAAAGAAATGATCCTAACTTCTAAGTAACAATATAAAACCAATCGACTTAACAATTGAGGACTTATTTTCTCAATCCAAAATCTAAGATAAAAGACTCAATATGTTATTATTGTTCTCGTACAATAAGTTAAATTTTCAATTGTTCTTTAGTTTTTAGTTGAGTTTATTATGTTTTTGAATAATGTCTAATTGTTCAATTATTTTTTCTAATAACTTTTCTCCCTAAAAAGGTCACATGTAGCTTACATGACAAAAATTTACTCTTCAAGTACCTCTAATTGAAATTACGTAAAAGGAAAAATCAAATCTTTAATATGTTTCTATATTTTTAATTGTGTTTATTATATCATTATATAAATTTTAATTTTCTAATATGTCTTTCAGTTAAGTTTTTCCATCCAAATTGATAAAATTATTCTTTTCATTCTAAAATTGTCCTTGAATTATACAAGCATATGATTTTAAGTTTTTGAAAAAAAATTAAACCTTCATTTTTAAAATTTTTTTTAATGATCTAGTAATTTTTAAATTTCTTAATTCTTAAAATGTTTTTAGCCGTTTTGAAATTTTTGTTACATTGTATCTTTATATAGTCGAAGGAAAATTTTAGAATAAAAAAAGAGTATATTTTTATAAATTTGAATGGAAAAATTGAACTAAAAGATATATCAAAGAATTAGATATTATACAACAAAATAATAAACATAATTAGGATTGTAGAAACATATTCGAGACTTGCATTTTCAATTAGGGACATTTCATTAAAAAAAAAAAAATTGCTCATTTGATTTAAATGTGAGCTTCGATCGGGAAAAAGATGATCGTAAAGGCTAATTTGATAATTAGACACTATTTGGAAACATAAGATACCTAGTTAGAAATATAAAGATAGATTGAATATTCAACATATTTTGTAAAAACATATTGAACTATTTATCCTAAAATTTAAATTCAAAGCAATGGAGATAGCAACTTGTGAGAGAATCTGTAATTTTAATGATGAGAAATTTAGTATATGACATCATCTCCATTTAGGTGTGGTGAGAATTTTCACACATAAAAACATGAAGTGATGTGAACACAATGTTTTTCTATCCAAAGTGTGGAATACCTTACCTAATTTTTCATTTTGTAAACCAAAAAAAGGAATCTCGTGCCTAACAATTGATGGCCATGCCATGCGATGCAATTTCTATTCCTTGTTGTATACGTAATGAGTAATCTTAAACATCGAGAAAATGCTAGAAAAAAAATAAAATCAAGAATACACATGGATCATTAAATTATGATTTTAAAGGAAAACCCACTTGCAGGTCCCACTAATCCAGCAATTTATGTGCATTCTTTGTGTTTTTTTTTCCCCAATTTTATCCATGTTTAGCATTATTCACATACAATTATCATTTATAGAATCCATACATAACAACTTGTAAATTCCTTTTTATTTATTTATTTACAGATATCTTCGAATTAGTTTTTATTTCAATTAAAACTTAATTTATTACTTTTTAGACTAAATCAATGTTAAATTACTTCTAATTTTTAATTGGTTTTAAAACCCAAATTCTATAAATTTACCAACAACTCATATCCATTGTGTGTGAATACTTATTCTAAAATTAATAAACTCATTAAAATTACCTTGGCAGTGTAAATTTTCGCTTGTGCATTTCAAATTAGTAATTTTCCTGTAGGTTATTGATAAAAACTCCAAGGAAAATATCAAATTAATCGAAATACGTGCTATCAGATAAAAGGGATAAATTTACCATGCTTCATCTATCCTCTTACACTTTAAAATTTCTAATTCCATCCTTATTATATTAAAAAAGTTACGGTATTACTATGATCTACATCAATCAATATATAGCAAATGAAATCTAATTAATGGGTAGTATTTTTTTTCGATTTTTAAGTATTATTATAAAATATTATATCGTGTGAAGGGATTTGATTAGGAAAATGAGATTAAAAAAATAGGAAAACCTGAAAGAAAAAGATGCAAAAGTAATATTGAACAACGATAATATTAGAAAACTTTAAACTTGGAAACAAAAGGCGAGGATTAACAAACCAAAAGACATAAAAATGACGTCAGTCCAATGACTTGCACTTATTGGTTTGGACTGACGTAAGGTTATAAGCCACTCCATTGATTGGACTAGGCCCAAATAGTCCTGATCCATAACCTTTCTTTATATGAATTTCCCGCCCTAAAGAAATACAATTTACGGTCCATGAATTTAACGGAAGCACACTTCGCTGGGCTCAAACAAAGCATTTCTTGTTTTGACTTTTATTATTTTAAAGAGAGCATCTCGCATTCAAGGCCGATTCAAAAATAATAATAATAATAATAATAAATAAATAAATAAAAAATCAAGTTTGCCCTTGGACCTTCCCACCTGCTTGCACCGAAAAAAGTTAATCCAAATCTTTTGGAAAAGTTATTCGATAAAAACATAGACAATAATAATAATAATAACAATAATAATAAAAAAACATTATCTCCAATTTCCTTCCAACTTAAAATTTTCAAGAGTGGGAAAGACACTTTAAAGATATTTTGGAATTTTAATATAATAAAACATATCACGTTTTGAAAGTGGTTTCACCGTATCAAAGAAGACAACTTGAGCTTTAACATCTTTTTCAGGCTCGAGCTTGATATCAATATTAACATGTGATTTTCACGTGGGAAGTGAAAAATCGAAGTTGATTACGTTTTCTTTACACGAAACAGACCAACGAGATTCGCCACTATATATTTTTATTGGGGTTTTATTCACAGCTGATTGGAAAGAAACTTTAAAGATATTTTAGAAAATTCAAACTATTAATTATATCACTTTTTGAAAGCGGCATTTTCATAACATATAAAGTAGAGAACTTTAGCTTTAACACATTTTTAAGCCTTGAAATTGTACATGTGCCCTTATCGTGAAGTGAAGGCTAGAGATTGGTACCAATAACTTGTGATTTCCTAATGAGA